AAAGTTCTTACTGAGTTTTGATCTCAACGCTTAACTAACTGCCTACTGTTTGAGGATTTTATAACATTTATAACGATCAGAAATTATATGTGCTGAAAATATAACCTTCATGTCACTTTCAAGTTTCAGTTGCTACTGTGTGCATAGTCAATTTACAATGAAATCTTACCTTGCAATTGAAGGAAGACGAAAAAGTGAAGGAATTCGGGGGTGAAGGTCATTGGATATGGTTTTTGGATTTTTTTTATACGTCAATCCAAGATTCTTGATTATCCTGGTTGCCGATAATATTATTATTGCCATTTTTTGCAGAGTGGATGTAGATTTTAGTTTTACCATTTTTAGACACGTCAAAGAGCTCATTTTTTTCCATGCAAATGGAGAATGTATTTTAAGCATATTTGGTTCACAAAGTGCTTAAGAGAGAACTTTGTTCTTGTCCTAATATTTTGTTCTGGGCTTGCTTTTAGGGTTTAAGCATCACTTTATGTTTCTTGTGATACAATGACTGCTTGCATCTCCTCTTCCTTGATGACACTTTTTCCTCTTTTTGCATAGGATAAAAATATTACTTGCTAGACATATTTAATTTGTAAATCCTCATCAACCAATAATTTGATGTTGACGAACGTGATAGTCAAAGTGTCAAACTACTCATTTTATGCATACTTTAGATACATCTTTTACTTGCTAAGTTTATTTCCAGATATGGTAATGCGAAGATTATCAGTAACGAGCTCTGATATATTCTTAAACAACTTGTCATAGATTATTTGTGGGTGAGAGAACTGTTAAATTCTTGAATTCAGACAATGTATTAAACTTCATAAAAAGAGAAGAACAAAATACACTAATAACACTCCATCAAAGGAGGAAGATGACACTCCATGAAAGGAGGAAGATGAACCTTTATGAAAGGAGGGATTGGAATACAACAATCCAATGAACTAAAAGGCATACAAAGTTTTGTATATATAGACAAAGTGTGGGCGGCTAACTAGAATAACTAACATCTAACAACTGACTGACTAAACTAACTAGTAACTAAACAATCAACAAATTAACTAATTTTTGAATCTGCTGGAACATATATCCTAACACCTCCCACCCCCCTAAAGATGGACTATGGAGATCAACAATAGTCCATCTTGAAGATTAAGGAAAACGTTGAACAAGGGGCCAAGAACAAAAAGATCCAAGAATCAGACATTGGCCTTGGGTGGTGCAAACCCATAAGATTACGGCGGAAATTCTGATTCCTTGATGAGGGAAGGCCATTTCCATTTGATATGGAGGAAGTCATAGAAGAGCCAGTTACAGGCGTGGGCTGCCCATCTGACATGAAGGACCCATCCAACCATGAAATTGGTGACCGTGAATCATCGAATAAAAATATTGGGTCCTGATAACCAGAAGCAGGAATTCCTCCAGGAAAGCCACCCTATCCATACATGCCATTAAAACCATAAGACGAATTTGGATATGTAGGTTTGGCAGCATTCAAGCAATTATTTTTCTTTATGCTCCCACTATTAGCAGTGCCATGAGATTTTGCATCTGCAGTAGCCACTGATAAAGATGCTTGGTCAGCAGCTGCAGAGGCCGATATGTCACCCTTGGTAGAGGCAGCAGGAGTAGGATATGGACCACTTGTTGCTGACTGGAAAAAGGGGGTATGGTACTGGCAGTGTTGAACTTCATAGAGTTGACCATCATGTCCGACAGTTGGAATAGGTGTAGTAGCAGGAGAATATGGCCCATAAGGAGCATAGCCATAGCCATGGTGATACATTAAAGACCCATTATCCCCATAAACTCCAGGCGTGACTTCTACTCCCTCTGAATTCACATATGGTGTGTAGTCCTTCCACTCACTACCAGTCCCATCATAGCCGCCATAATAGTATGCAGTAGAAGGGTAGCCATTAGGAAGATAGCACATAGACTGATCAATGAGACCCGATAGCATGGGAGTCAAAGACCCATCCCTAGATTGATTGTGTCCAGCAGTCACGTTGCCAGAATCAAAAGAAGGCTTTTTGGTTGGCTCTGGAATTTCCAGAGTTTTCGCCTGTGTGTCCAAAGACAATTTCTGTAGCAGGTCAGCAGCCTGACTTGTAGGAGCAAAGGCGGCCATAGACTCTGAACTGACAGATCTCGCTTCTTTGAGAGAGGGATGGGGTTTTTAGTGGGAGAAAGAAGGTGTGAGAGTATCAGCCTTCACCAGTAAAATGCTGAAAAAATGAAGGCAGCAGTAGGAAGCAATTATGTTCTGATACCATGTTAAATTCTTGAATTCAAATAATGTATTAAACTCCATAACTCCATGAAAGGAGGAAAATAACACTCCATCAAAGGAGGAAGATGACACTCCATCAAAGGAGGGATTGGAATACAACAATCCAATGAACTAAAAGGTATACAAAGTCTTGTATTTATAGACACTAGTGTGGGCGGCTAACTAGAATAACTAACATCTAACAAGTAACTAACTAAACTAGTAACTAACCAATCAACTAACTAACTAATTTTTGAATCTGCTGGAACATATATTCTATCAAGAACCTTTGGTCAATTTTCAGCATTTTTTTTAAAAAAAAATTTTTTAATTTTTTTTATGCCCTTTCTTGTGTCCTCAAGGAGGTAGGGGGAGGTTTGTCATTGTATTTAGTTTGGAGGAAGCTGCATTTGATAGGATTTCCCTAGATTGGATTCTAAAATATCATTGAATAATTTTTTTCCCCTTTTGGCAGGCTGAGAGTGCAATTGCAGCTTTGAACTGCAGTGGTGCTGTCCTAGGATCACTTCCGATAAGGTTTATAATCCTCTACTATGCTTGTAATTTGTTCATTGTACACTTGTCTTGTTATCTAGTAAGTAATCTCTTGCAAATTTGCACCTTTTCAGGGTAAGCCCATCGAAGACACCTGTTCGACCGCGTGCACCCCGCCAGTCCATGCACTAAACTGTTCATGGAGTTTCTATTTAGCCAATCATCTGATGAACGTATCTATCTATCTATGTATATGCAAAGTTAGATACTGTTGCATATGGTGCTTTGTGGCATTTATATTTTTAGTTTTTCTCCTTTGGGTCTTGACCGAGTCTTTATCACCTGCAAAGGGTTTTTATGGTTGTACGTTCAGCTTGCAGTATTTGACCTTTTTTGAGGCTTAAGTTGACTTAAATCATGTTGCACATTATGCTAAGTTCAATAGGCAGCGTCTCAAAGTACTGATACTGTTTCATGCTTCTGATTTGTAGAAAAACTTGCTTCACAAATTTCTTTTTGACTTTCATCTATTATGATCAACCTGATGAACCTTTTCTCGCCCATTTTCGCATTTTACTTCCTGTCTTAAAGGAAAATTTTCTTAATCGGTCGTGTTTAACGGAGTAGATTTTCTGATACAGAAGTTGGGAAAATTTTCTTGACTTCTTGCTCCGTTTTGTCTGATTTCTGAGATGACTTCTTCAAGCTTAAATTCAAGCTTGTATGTATTGGACTCGATAACTCTGATATTGTCATCGTATCCATAGCTCTGATAACTTTGTGAATGAGGAGATTATTGAATGTTGCGGTGGACTGTAGAGGTGTAGAATGGGATGAGTTAGGTCATCTATATTTGTTTCTTATACGAAAATGCTTTCTAACTGAAACACTTCGTTAGAAAGCAGATAGATTTTTTCAGTTTATCTGCACATCAATCACTTTCTTCTCTACTTTGATCTTAGGAATGGATACGTAGAGAGAGCCATATTCAATTCTGCCTTCACTTTATCCTTCGGGAAGTTGCTGCCACGGTGTCGTAGGAGCTAAATCCCCTGCTCGACCCCTCGTGATCTTTACATTCTTTCTTGTGCTCGCCTTTAATGACGAGTATGTTGTCCTCCTCAGACTTTGACATTGTCTTCTGAGAGTCCCGGCTTGTCAAAGCATATTCATATTTCATTTTCTTCATCGTTTTTATCCCAAGGCGAGCGTTTGGCGCAATGTCCTCGGTGAAGACAGCGGCTCTAGTAATCCTACAATCCGTAGTCCATTGTCGATCCATGTCATTTAAAAGAGGGAAAATTGCAGATGAGGTACCAAACCTTTCGTTTATTAGCAGATTTTGGTCAAACCTTTAATTTGTGCCACCCACAGTCCCAAACCTTTCAAAAATATGCACCGAGGGTTCAAATGGATGAAAATCGTCCATTTGACCGTTAGTTGATAATGCAGATAGAAGATTGATAGAAGCTGAAACAGAGATATCTTGAACACTAGCCATATTCTTTCACCTGTTAATGTATAAAAAATATGACAAAATTATTTTCTCGTTTCTTGCAGAAAAATAGTGGGACCCGATTATTATATAAAGATAGGACAATATTTATAAATTGAATTACCAAACTCCCCTCTAATTTCTAATAGTGATATAAACGAAGATATTTCATACTTTTCATCTAAATGAGTTGACAAGATCAACCTTGATTTTAAGCCCATGTGATAGAAATTGAATATTTTCATACTAAACTCAGGGAAAGAATGTATATGAACTCCTACATAACACCTTAGAAAAACACAGAACAATTCAATATTTCATTAAAATTGTCGCAATCATTTGACAATCCATGCTTTTTTTCTGATCCCAATAGGAGATTGTGATGTAGGTTGTATGAAATCCTATATCAGTAAATTGTAGTTACTGCTTAATATCCTATCTCAGTAAAAAGCCACCCAAATCCACTGCATTTCCTCTTCTTCTTCAGATTCTTGATTTTTGGGAACAAAGTTCAATTTTTTCGCAATGAAGTGTTGTTTCTTGGAATCTGATTTATGAGGGTGATTTCTTTCGCAACTGGGACGCCATTGTTTCTTGCAAGGAAATGGCAGTGGATATAGGTGGTTTTTTGGCCAGAGACTGGTGGCTTTGGGCAATGGAATCGGGCTTCTACGTTGGGTTGGGTGGGGTGCGGGAAGAAGAAGATGAATAGTAGTTTCTTTTATTTTTATTTGGTATATTAGTTTATTTGTTTTATTATAGAATTAAATAACAATTTTACCTTTCTACCCTTTTAAGTTGGTCAAAAATTGGTCAAAATTCAATTTTATTGGTCAACTAAAGGTTAAACGGACAATGTTCATCCATTTGAACGGCCGGTGCATATTTTTGAAAGGTTTGAGACTGTGGGTGGCATAAACTAAAGATTTGGGCAAAGTCTGCTAATAAACGAAAGGTTTGATACCTCAGCTGCAATTTTCCCTTTAAAAGATTTATTGATTAAGCTGTTAGAGAGACTAAAGCTGCGGGGAAAAAAATAATAATAATTGTAAAGACATACCGGAAGGAGAGATATCCATAGCACGTCCACTGCCGTATCTTTGTCATTCCCGTTCCCGGTTGCATGAGCTCTCACAGATGACACAACCTTCTCACATTGCAAGCAGAAGGGAAAAAACACACGACTATTTGTCCTAACAACATTGTTTAAGGCTAAAGAAGAAGGGCACATGCTAAGAAATTAGTAGCCATTTTTTTTAACCTCAGAACACAAACTGCAGAAAACAAATAGTGGAATGGCGATTGATATATATGCTATGGGTGAGTGGAAGGGGTTGGGATTGAGGATTTTATAGGCAGAAAAGAGAAACCCGGGG